ATATTTTGAAGATATATGCATATACAAACACTAATTGTACATAATATTAATTTTTGAATATTTAAATAACAGAGCTGAATATCAATGGAAGCACTTGAATAGCTTGACATGCATTATATTTCATAGTTAAAATCCGAAATTATTTGTCTGAATCTTTGCTGGCATCTCAGTGAGGCAGATGAAGGAAGGAGTAAAAACTTAGGAGGAGAGGGGGATGCTCACATCATATTATTTTGCTTCATACATGCAACATAATAGAGTATATGACATGTCATGTACATACATACCTTTTATATATATATATATATATATATATATATATATATACACACACACACACACTGGTAGTTATTAGGTGGTCCACTACAAGCATGCTGCTCACATTACAAATGTTTTACTGGCTTAGTTGACATCACATTAAAAGAGAAATATATTTTAGAAAAAAGGCAAATAAAGTGACCATGATGATAAAATAACAAACAGACGTGCAGGGGAATTCTTTTAATTTATTATTGTTGATTAACTTATCTATAGCAGAGTAGTTTTTAAATCGGTAAAGAAACTGATAATTTGCATCACAATTCACAATTGGGATGTAGTGTAGCTGTTTTAGGGCCACCAAAAGGAAGGAGGGCATGAAAGGAAAGAACCTGATTTGGCTCGTTTATTGCTCCCTCCACTCCAAACAAGAGGGCATGAAAATATGCATATTCTCTTTATAAGAAAAAAATATGTGCATTTTTCTTTTTATTATCAATTTAATAAGTCTACTCCTAGAGTGCCTTTGTAATTGGGTGCCTAGAGATCTTATCTGTACTCAAGATCTCCTTCAGGTGACCAAATCATGGGTCACACCAATTTGTATTTTCTTATTTGGGTGCAACCACACCCTGTCTGTCACAGTATTTGCGTTGTTGATTCCTTTTATTTAGTTATTTATTCACTCTAATATATAAGCTTCTGTTTGCTCCTGTTTCTCATGATAAGTGCTAGCGAGGAGAGTAACTCAGTTCCGCTGGAGGCTTGGTAGAATCAAGTTAATTATTCTGATATTTATTCGAAAATAAAAGCATGCTTTCGACCAAATCTTCAGTTTAGCAGAAAAAAAAAACTTAATTGCAATTGTGATTCATGAGCATTTTAATTCTTTAACAGTTTTTTTTTTCTGAATTTAATCCCTTATTCAGTCCCTCAAATTCTTTTTTACTCTCAATTAATTAGAGGTTTAAGACATATTTGAGATAAAAATAATTTTGAGGTACAAGACACAATTGCCAAACTGAAGTCTTTTTGGTATTAAAAACAAAATCACAAGGCTATTTGAAAAGGGTGCTTGCAGATTCAAAAACAAAACACAATTGCTAATCTGAAGCAATATATAGTGTAGCAGGGGTTGCATAGAGTATCTAATTTCTTACTTGTATCTCACAGTTTGGAGTCACTTCTATTATCGTTAGGAGCTATTATATAGTCTTTTCGGGGCTCTAATCAAGTAAATGCAATTGTTATGCATGAACATTCATAGATGGTGTCAATGTTTATATACTTTAACAGTAGTTACAGCGCTTGCTTCATATGTAATTAAGCTATATATCATGTGTATAATTTTCAGTGAAAACAATCAATTAGACAGTGTATAATTTTTAAAATTCTATACAAACATGTGTCATAAAAATAGATAATGATTCGTGAAGAAGACAATACTGTGTTTCGTATTTCTTGCTTGAAATACTAGATACAGTTATTGTTAACTCTCTTAGTTCTCAACTCAATCCACCAACCAACCGAATCAGGTTAACAACAAACGTTTTAATAATATACTGATGGTGACAATTTTATTTATTGGTCTTTGGTATTAATGATTAAAATAGATTCCTTACAGTACTTGGAACCTTTGTTGGGTCAAGAACTTCAAATTCACCATAATTCTTCTGATGCTGCTGGTGATGCAATCAGTTTGTAAAATATTCACTAAATGCCACGTATATAATTTCATCTTGGTGATCATGGTTAATGGTCCAACACGATCGTTCTCGTGTGTTCAAATTTTTTTAAAAAATGTTTACGTAGGGATTGTATTGACGGTAAATTTGATTGTCTTTTTCTTACCTTTTGACGCTAGTGACAACGTACTTCAACGTCGATGGGAATCATTTTTTTTTATTTGGATTGACTACTGGTTTAAAATTTTAAAATGAACAATGTTAAGGGTGATAATGTCTAGGGTTGAATCTAAAATAAGCTAATGACGTAAGGCACAAAATCTTATTTCAAAGCCAGTCTGTTTAGATTTGTTTGATTAATTTTTTCAACTTCATGAAAAATTCTATTGTTAATTTAAAAATATACAAGTTGTCTTTTTTTTTTTCTAGAAAAAGTTCTATTATTTAAAAAACATGTTTAAATATTTACCATAATTGAATAAGTTAAATGAAAAAACTAGGTAATAATGACTATCACATAACAATATAGATGTTGTTAGGTGGGGGTTACTTAAAATTTACTTTAAAAAAAATATGCTAATTCAAGTGGCGAAATACTGTAATGTCTTGTGAGTTGGCGCAATGCACTAAGAAAAAAAAAAGAGTATAAATATTTTTAAATTGATAAATAATATTTCAAATTATCTAATAAATAGTTTGTAAAATTACATTTATTTGGTTCACAGTCTTATTCTCTGTACTAAAAGAGAACTCTACCAAAAAAGCCTGATTCTTCTCTCGGTTTAATTTTATTTGCCCAAGTCATATGATTTAATCAATACACAATTGATGAATTATTATTTTGAGCAAAATATAATAACGTAATTGAATTTGGAAACCCAAAAAAGGTTTTTAGTAAAGATAAATTTATAGTGGGAATTGATTTTTTTTTTCCCGGTCTCCACCGTAAATTTCATGCTAGCCAAACAGAATACGACTCTTTTCATGATCAAGCCATAGGAAACTGTTAAAAATTTATATAATAATGTTGTCTTGAGATAAATATATACCTCATAGGTCTGACCTAACCTCATACAAGCTCAATAAACCCATTGTGATTTCATTTTTTCAGAGACCAACAAAATTATCAATAACCGACATGATCTTGTGATATTTAGAACGTTTCTTATGTTGAACTCTACAAAATGCCTCATTCTGCAAGTATAGTGAAGAAAAATGACTCTACAAAAATCAGAGCAGCTAAAATTTCGTTATATGCACACTATCTTTTATATAGACACACATGTTAGAGCACTCAGTAGCTTGAATGTCATTGGAATGTCTTTTACAGATATCTTTTCATTAGAGATTGACAATATGAAGTTTATGAATGACAACATGACTGTTAGAAGTCACTCACAACAAAGGAAAAGAGAGGAATGATCTACGTCATTGGAACTTAAAATGCAAAGACAACTTAATCTGTAGTATATATTCAAACTATACAAATACTATAATATTTTTGCCAAAAACAGAAGGGCACTACTAGAAGTTTAAGACCTACTAGCATTTTCCTGAATCTAGCTTCTTCTTTTTGTTCTCTAAAATAAAGAGGTTGGATTACATAAGATGGTTTGGGAAATTTGATGCTAATGAACTTAATTGCAGACCCTGAAATGGGCCAACCAAATTGATGGCTTATGCACACATATATGTATCACATCAATGAAAAGTATAATTGTACTCGGTGGAGGGACCAAAGGCTAGTAACTTTTTACCCCAAATCCTAGAGTTAGGCATCGATGGTTAATAACAAGAGATATATATATACCATCAGGTGGAGTGAGTTTGAGACATGATATACCATATGCTAAAAGGTGGGTCCTTCATTTAAATCTACATAATTCCTTGTTTGAACGGTCAAGCTATAAATTATTGATTGTTCATGTTAAACATTGGATACCATCTCTTCTTTTCCGTCTTATGGTCCCCATTTTCACTTCCTTCTCCTTCCATGTTCTTACAAAAATCTTCTTTCTATTCTTGTTCTTTCCATGTTATGTGCATTGCTATATGTTTATAATTTTGTTTTTGGGACTGAATTTTTGGTACAAATTAAGTACGTGATATATTCTACTACGAAGCCGTATATATGAAGATTTTTAGTATTCTACGTTATGTGTTTGCTTGGATGATTGGATTAAATATTGAGTTGAAAAAAAAGACCCGAAAGGGACCGTAAAAGGATCATGAAGTAGATATTTGGCGTTAACTTTGCGACGGTAAAATTCAAGTGAAAACCGAAGTTACGGAGTGTGCGAGGTATTTGAAAAATATAATTAGAAAAGAGAGCAAAATTAACTCATGACGAGCAACAAATACAGAACCAACACAAGCTCTTTGTCAATTAGTTTAACGTGGGACGAAGAAAATGCACACGATTGTATTAAACTGTACCATGTTTTAGATATTGTACGCTAAAGTCTTCTTTTTTGGTCAACAAGCCAGAGTCTGCTGAAATACCAGAACATGATATAATGTTTTATTTCTTTGAACAATTTTAAAAGGTGTAACGATAATTAATATGGATATATTCCTGGTTGCTTAATTAACAATTACGGTGATTGATGAGGCCATAACGGGCATTTGAAGGTAAAAAGTGAAATGCGGATTCGTGGAGTGAAACGAAGACAAAGACAGCCATAGTGGGGGGGTGGTTTGGTTGGAACCCATGGTTGTGGTGAACAACACACATGGGTTAATTGACCCCATTTCAATCAGAAACCAAAAAACAATTCACAAGGTCATGTCATGATGCAACCATCCACGGGGCCACGCACACCCTCTCTCTTTTGTTCAGCTACTGTGATTCATGATTGTAAACTAAATACCTTGCGTGCACTCCTCACCCCTCACGCACGTATGAATTCATCCACACCCGCATTTTGTTTTATTATTTTTTCCTCTTTTGGCTTTCCATTAATTTAATAATTAATTATTATTTGATGATGCACTTCCATCAAGGGCATTTATGTCAATGCATGCTCTATATAATTCAACTCCCGTGCTATCTTGTGGGTTGGAGTTTCCACATCCACTTTCCACTTTGACTGTAGCCATTCACGCTTGTTCCTCTGTTCTTTGTCCTTCCTCACTCTCCTCCTCCCTTTTCAGTCTTCTTCTCTGTCTAACTTTTGAGCTTTCGGATTCATCTCCAATTTCGATCTCTTTTCTCCATATTGTAAGTAACTTCTTCATTTTATGCATATCCCTTGTCTTTCGTTTCTCACACCAAGGTTTCTTCAATCATTTCTGGGTTTAGCTATCCATTTTAAGTTTGGTGTTCTGAAATCTCAAATTTTCATTTCATTTTTTCTTTTTTTTAAAAAAAGCTTTAGGTGAAAATTGAACATAATAAATTAAAGTTCGAGGATTCAGGAAAAAGTTTTAATTTTGTTGTTGTCTTGATTTGATTATATTCATGCAAAATTGGAAGATGGTTTGTGACATGTTGAAATTATGTTGCAGGGTGTTGAAAATATTTGTGTGAAGGAGAAGGGGTGGTTTAATATTTGTGGGTAAGGACAAAACAGCATGCGGTGGTGGCTTAGTCTTTCTGTTGATGTATTCCGCAAAGGGATTTCCTTGAATCTGTATTGCAAAGTGATTCTGTAATTTGTGTCGCGTGATACCTTCTTCATCTTAGATATCTTTGCGTCGTTTCCATGGGATCCAATTTCTTTGTTGTTCTTCCTTGCTACGTCCGTCAGATCAGCTGAAGGGTAGCAAATTCTTCCAAAAAGAACTCATCTTTCTCTCTATAAAATTTACTTAGTTTCCGTAATCATCCTTTTCCTTTGTAGGGGTGTGTGTTTTGTTATTTGAATTTCTTTAGGAACTTCACTTTGGGTATCGTTTGTTTATTTAATCAAAAGTTTAAAACCTGTTGAACTGGCGTGGAAGTGTTCAGATTAATTGTCTTCAACATAAAACTTTGGGTCTTGTATTTTGAATTGAAGAGGGTTGGGAAGTAGTTATGGTTTGCCAAGCAGCGAGTCAAACTAGATTTCGGGCATTGAAACATGAGAATGGAACTGCGGGGAGCTCCACCATTATAGTTAGAGTTATAGCATGCTTTCAACCTCTCAGAGAATGCCAGGTATGCGATCCTGATCCACGTTTGATTGACCAACATCTTGGTTGTGTTGCTTTTAGTTTTGCAGCATATAAACTAACTCGTGTTGATTGTTTTGTTTTTTTTACTATTGTACAGGCTGAATATTTCCGTCATTTGCTCAAACCTGTCACGTAATTGTTTTGCTTTGCTTTGTTTGGGTGGGTTAAGCCGGTTCTTTTAGTTGTTTTCCTTGTTCGTGAAAGAAAACTTTTGTAACAGATAGTTCTCGTGTTGAAATCGTTTTTCTTCAGGTAAATCCTACATTATTATTCATTCATTAAAAATGTGTTCTCTGTTTGATGTCTTTTATGTTTAATTAATGATTTCATGGTATATGTTTCTTTAATTTTTAGGTGATTGTTCTGATTGAATGGGAAAAGATTGTGGAACTTGGATACCGCATCTACAATTTGGATGGCAATCACCAAATTTGAATCCCCTTGATGTGGGGAAGCAAAATGGTATTTCTGCAGCTATGAACCCTGGTGTTAATATGATCTCTATTAATGAGACAATGCCAGCTTTTGCATCCTCTGCACTGCCTTATTTGCAGTTAGGAAATTCCAATGAACCACGTGGTTGGTTTTATGGTTTGCCTCGCTTTAGACAGGGATTTACTCCTGCTACAAACTTCACTGCTGAGGGAAAAACCCCTGATGACCATATTAAGGGTTTTAGGGAGAAAATTGCTCGCTATGGTGGTTCAAGTACCCCTCAGAAACGATTTCTTGTTATTGACCAGACGGGTGGTCAAACAACTATTGTTTATAGTTCTAGGTTTGGGAGTCCCGGAGAGTGCATTGCTTCTTGGCATTCAAATCTGCATGGTGCTAACTATATGAGTAGAAATGGACCTTCTTTTAGAACAGATTTGAATTTGAATCAGAATCCGAATCAGAATCAGAATCATATGATTGAGTCAACTTTGACCGATAAAGTCAATGAGAATCAGGGCACTGGCATTGAAAGTGAGATGCATGAAGACACGGAAGAAATTAATGCATTGCTTTACTCGGACAGTGATGACTATTCTAGTGAGGATGATGATGAAGTTACTAGCACAGGGCATTCTCCCAGCACAATGACCACCCATGATAACCCTGAAATCTTTAGGGAAACTGCAGAAGAAGTTGCGAGCTCCACTGGGAAAACCAGGAAGAGGAAGCTTTTGGATGGTTATAATGATGACATAAAACTCATGGATACCGCCACTTCTCTGAATATGAACAAATCCTCTACGATGGGAGATGATGCAGAATCAAGATGTTCTAGTAACAACAATGAGGAATCCTTTTCTGGCAATAAGAAGATGAAAAGGGAGAAGATACGGAACGTTCTGAGTGCTCTGCATCGCATAATTCCTGGCAGGAAGGATAAGGACCCAGTTATGCTCCTTGATGATGCCATACGTTGCTTGAAATCCTTGAAATACAAGGCTAAAGCACTCGGACTTGATGCCCCGTAATTTGGAGAATTCTTAGTCAGACATGGCATTATTTGTGACCTAAGTAGTACTACTTTATAGTGTAAGTTCTGGTCTGTTGGTGGTTGTTCATACTTCATGGAGTCTGCAGAATAAACAAGGTATGGTTGTGTTCAGGAGCTTGTGCAGTTGTACTCGTCAACTACTTGTTACTTGTGAAATACTGAGTTTGGTTGGCTTCTGAAACCCTTCCTTATTGATCGAATTGGAACTTGGAGATCAGCTGGTATGGTCAGTGTAATTCATGTGTAGCTGTGTGTAGAATTCAGTGTATTAAGAGCAATAAAGGATGAACGAATCTTTCCTTCAATGTCTTTGGCAATGCAACACTCACATTGGAGCATGGGATATGTGAGCTATTTTGAATGAGAAGGTTGGTTATTCCAGATTATCCAAAAAATTAGTAATGTGGGGCCCAATCTTGCTTCCACTTTTTGTATCCATGTCATGTTAAATTCAATCCTTTGTGGGTTTTGCCTTTTGTGATCAGAGGAACAAAATTTCACTTGCTGTGAGATAGATCTAGGTAACTTGGTGCTGTTGCCCCGGGTACACTTTCTCGTTCACAAATTTCCAGTGCATGGGTACAGTAATGTAGTTGGCTTATGGGAAACAGATATTTGTGTTTGATTAGTGCCCTACTATATTTATGGGTTTGTGTTTTGTGTATCGTGATTGGTGTATGGACTACTCAAAGAGGATGGGATGATACTATCTCTTGGTTTGATATTATTTAATGTGGTTGGCGTTACTATTGTCGTGTTGCTCGTGTATTTACGTCGCATGCACGCATTTATGATATGAGAAAGTGATGTGTTTTTTTTTAAAAAAAATATTTTGATACTTAAAAAATTACCACTATTGCTTACTCATATTTGGATGATTCCTATGTTGATGAGAAGTTATATCCGGCTCCATTCCATGGGGTTTTGCGGGACCACAGCGTTGAATTATTAAGGAGAAATATACATTTATGTGTGCGTGAGAGAGAGTGAGGCACTGGTTGTTGTGAATAGTCACTAGTCATGGTAGGTGTCAAACAAAAGAAAGAATCTTGTACAGTGTTTTATTCAACTTCATTGATCTCATCTTCTACACCGCATCTGAAGCCTACTATTGCCTGGAGCACCATGTTATAGGACATGTTTTTCTTGTAATAATGGGCTCTCCTTGACTTAATTATTGTGGTTAACATTTTTTTAGATTTAAAATATTGGTAATCCAAACAAACAAATCTAGGGTGTATTTGGATTTATATTAGAATATTTGTGAACATATTGAAGTAAACACAAGCTCCTAGAAGTTTAAATGTGAATTTAAACAAGCTCGAAAAAATGATTTTGGAGTTGAATTAGATGGGCGGTTAATATTCTCTTAACTATGTGTATATTTGAAGAAAAAGGAGGATTGTGGTATCTATAGAGAAAGCTAAAATAGTAAGAATATTGTGGAAAAAGTTGAAGAGTGGGGCTTGGTGAATGGGGAGGCATATATTCCTCAGACGGAGGTATGAAAGATGCATGGCTTTCCCTTGGCGGACAGAACAACAAGTTACTTTTGTGAAAGGTATGGATGGTCTGAATTTTTTGAACCATCGCATTTCTGAGAAGAAGGCGCGCTTCACATTATACGTAACGTCTCCATTAGCTAATTTAGTGGCTAAGGAATCGAATCAAACACTTCAAAATTAATTCTGATTTTCTATATTTCTCTTTCTCGATATTTAGTTTTTATGGAATTCATTTGACACTAGTGGAAATGCTGTGAAAGAAAGTTACGACAACACTTTATTACCCCATGTTTGGTTGGATGGAAAGAAGGTAGGAAGATGAAAATAAAATAAAATGAAATGAAAGGTCTTAAAAATTCCAACTTTTTTCTTTCTCATTTACTTCACTTTCTATTCAACCAAGCTAATGGCCAAATGGAGTGCTGTTTGTTCTCGAAATCCGTGCATTAATACGGCTAACAATCTAACTCACACGTGAAATATCCAACTACAATTCATAGCTACCTAAAGTTGGTATGGTGAAATGGCATGCCTCGTCTTGTGGATTTAACCGTTGTGATTTTGGTAAAGTAAACAACTAGATTATCAACACTAATGTTTTTGAACATTTTTACTCGGTTGCTGAAAATCACATCGCACAATATACTACTACCTTTACCCTGAAAACTGGAAAAAAAAAATGATGTCAATGAAGCATCAAATTGACCTTTTACCAGTCATCCAAAGGTTTTTCTTTATATGCATGTTTGCGAACCAACACTTATTCTCTTTTTAGCCATGACCCGATAACAGGCTGTATGTGAGTCGTTATCTCGCTGTTATGAATGGAGATTGAATATGCAAACAGAAGTTAGGGAGAAAGATCTATGTGGAACCAACTTTTAAGCCAAACAAGTAACATGAGTTGGTTTGGAAGAGGTTATATAATAATAATAATAATCTTTGACATAAATTATAATTTTTAAAAAATTATTAAATAAGTGCTCAATTGCACAATATATACAAACACATCTTGTATATATACCTGCAATTCTTTTGTGGATAAATCTATTTTATTATTATTATTATGACTATTATCATCTTTGATCTAAAGCCTCTTTATTTGAGAAATGGAAGTAGAAGAAAGAGAAATAATGAGTGATACAATAAAAAACAAATTATAATTTTTTTTATAAAAATGAATTTTTGTCAATATAAAAAAAAATTGTATCATATGTGTATTATTACTCTCTTCATTTACGCTGGGCCTGGCCCGGGGTAATAGATATTGGATTCATGGGCTTGGGAATAGTTTCGGCTTATCCATAAGAGGGGAAGATAAAAGAAATGGTGGACGGGTACGTTGGACACGATACGTAATAGTAGTAATAGTGGCCAAAGAAAAGCATAACATAATCGGAACCAATCATCCACCGCCAGTACAATGATGAAGGGCGCTTACATATCACGCAACATCGCACTCCTGCACTCCTTCAATTACCAAAACAAACCTCATTCTCCGCTCATTATAATTATAATTAAAATCTTTTACACAATATATTATGATTTACTGAAATATTAATAAAAGAGAAATAAAGAAGAGTATAGAAGGATTTGTAAGTATAACCGCCTTAGCTGCAATTGATGACATTCACGCAACGGGGAGGGAGTAATTGGCTACTTTAACTTTCTCGCTGCGCACTCACACCGATTCTACGATGGACTCTGTTCCTTTTCGCGATGGCAACATACGCACCATTCTCGACACTCGATGCCTTCACGCTCCTCGAGTATTCTTCTTTTACTTTTCTTTAAATTCCAAGTTGCTTAATGGTTCCAGATTGTGGATATTGTCAAATCCGATTATCAATTTGGTGAATGGTAGTTTCATTCAAGACGTGCTTTGGTTTTCGCCGATGATATCTTTGCTCTATCGTATGATCTTTGACTGTGAAACTGTATTTCTGGTTTTGTTTAGGATGCTCTTCCTCGTTTGCAGACTCATTCCTCGTTGATTCGGAGGCTTTGTCAAGAAAGGGAGTTAGAGGTTGGTAACATACCTAAATTTACTAGTTGGTGTATCATGCTTCTATGTTTGTAGGAATAGCATTGCTGTCAATTTCTTCCGATTTTTGTTTTTATCGTATATACGTTTCTGTGTGTTTTAGTGGGAACTTGAAGTTAAGAAATGCGAAACTGCAATGTTATTCTCTTCATGTTGATTTGTTGTGCTATGGTAAATTTGCGGTATGTGGATATGGGTTTAGGTGATTTAAGTACTTGCGATTGTGCATGTAGGAATATACATAATTTTTTTAAGTGTCTTTAGTGACACAGGCTGCAGTTTTTCAGAGAAGGTAACAGCATTCTGTTGCCATTGTTCTGTGTTCTGATTACTCTGGCTTATCATACTTTTATATGTATTATGTCCCTGTGAAATCTTTTTGTATCTTATATTATTAATCACATTGATTAGACTTATCTTCTTGAAAGAAGTAGGCAGTAGTGATCAATTCTTAAAAATGCTGGCTCTACCTGTAGATCTAAATAATTATTCTCTTCAACTGTTCACAGCTGTTTGCTTCATTTTATGTACATTTAACCCTGCCCCTCCCCCAAATATATGCACTCTCATTTTATTTGTTGAGTTTTGGTTGGTATCCGTTTGCTCATGATTTGAACAGGGGCACCTTGGCTGTGTTAATGCGGTGGCTTGGAATTCCCAAGGTTCATTATTGATATCTGGATCAGATGATACACGGGTATAACACATTTTTTTAATGTCAACGAAACTGTATTTTCATATCCTAGATGATAGAAAAGATGTAAAGCAGAGAAAGAGATGTTGAAGGGAGATTCTTTTTTCAAAAAGACATCTCATATTGGAAGAGAAATATACAAGAAATAAATATTGACATAATTTTGGGTCCATTAAACTACCAAATTTAATTTCTGATGTAGATTTTCCATTGTTAAAATTTCCCTCTTGCGAGTTAAAATGGAGTTTCTTTTTCCATTATTAAATAGGTCTATGACTTCACTTTTGTTTTCTAGTAGAAACTTTTGCCTCTCTTCTACATATTGTGCTTGTTTCTTGTTCTCACAGTTATGATTTATTTTTCAAACCAAATAGAGGTTGATCAAGAAGCATCAAATTACCAAGTACTGAGAATAATTATTTGTTTGTTTTTAGGTCTTGTTTTGCCTGATATAATTTATAATTTGTAATTATGAAGTCATGATTAGTTTGATGAGTTCACTCTTAACTCTCAAGAGATTGCAAACAAACAGATAGGGGAAAGCCCTTCTGTTTTTGCTTTATAACTTCCACTTCATCTGTTCTGGCAATAGAAGACATTGAACCATTTGCCTGAAATTTTGCAGATCAATATTTGGAGCTATTCTGGACGAAAACTCTTGCATTCTGTTGACACTGGACATAGTGCAAATATATTCTGTACTAAGTTTATACCAGAAACTTCTGATGATCTTGTAGTCTCTGGGGCTGGAGATGCTGAAGTAATACTATGATCCTTCCAATATTAGTGGGTAATGTGATATTAATGCTCCAATTTTATTTATTTTTCATTTTGGCAGGTCCGAGTATTTAATTTGTCTCGCTTAAGTGGGAGTGGATTTAGTGAGAATGCAATTGCTCCATCTGCACTTTACCGTTGTCACACTCGAAGAATCAAGAAATTGGCTGTAAGTTATGTGGTCTAAGAAAATACTGAATTAGCATAGTTTCAATAGCATTACATCAATTGGGAGGGGGAGGGATTAAAGAAATAAAACGAAATATATGCTGGACTATCTGATTTAACCTGAATCCTGTGAATTTCATGTCTTCTGCGTTCCTTTTGTGCAGGTTGAAAATGGAAACCCCAATGTTGTATGGAGTGCTAGTGAAGATGGAACGCTAAGACAACATGATTTTCGGGAAGGTACCTCTTGTCCCCCAGCAGGATCTTCACACCAAGAGTGTCGAAATATTCTAGTAAGGGGTTTAATTTAGTTGTTTTTGTTCCTACTTATCGTTTTTTAATGCAGTTGAACCTTGTCTGGCATATGAACATATGGAGTTGAATTTAAAATTTTCAGTGCTTGCATGTGTATAAGTGATCTTAGAAAGCTGATTTTTCTTCATATCCGTAATATTTGCTGGTTTGCTGAAGATTAATTTATCTGCTATATTAGAGCATCTGCAGGGGCGTCTAACACATGAGACATGTTGATCTGATGAAATAATAAGCTATTTCTATTTCACTAGAATAGAAAGTTACCTCAATAGATGGTTGGTTCTCATATGTCAATACAATATAAATTTATAATCCTTTCTCCATAATAAATGTTGGAGTAGTATACTGGAACCTGCTTTAGGATATTGTTGTATTGGATGTAATCAAATTCATTTGATAAAATCTTTAATGTGATCCCTTTTTTATAAAAAAATGTTTTCACTTGTATTTATTATGCATTTCTTTATTCCTATACTAAATGGAAAGTTAACTTTTTTACGGATGGAGGGGGAAAAAACTAACTTTCCATTTTATTCATGTGCAGTGGTAAGAATACAATATGATGTTCTGATATTTTTCCAAGGTTTTTCAAACTATTGTGGGTTATTAATTACTATAGCTCATTTACCTCCTAGCATAAGTGCACATGGAAAACCTGGGACTAAGGCATCTCAAGGGAAATCATTAATGATGAAGAGCTCTATGCTTGAGATCTTGGCTGCGTCTTCAATCTCTTGATGCTCTCATTATTTCCTTTTCTTAATGCTCTGGAAATTAAATGGCTTTTGTACAGAAGATAGTTAGGATGCCAACATTCTTTGTACAATGTAGTTCTTAGAATTTTTGCCCTGAAAGTTTGTTGGAAAGATGGTTAACTATGATCATTGTTTCTGAAGCTGGAGAATCCTTGGTGTTTTTTTGTCTATTGATTCTCATGTTTAATGGTTAATGTCAGCTTGACTTAAGATGTGGAGCAAAAAGGTCACTTGGCGATTCTCCTAAACAAGTCCTTGCTTTAAAATCTTGTGACATTAGTTCAACTAGACCACACTTGCTCCTTGTTGGTGGGAGGTAAATATTTCTGTTGATACTTGTGTTATTTAATTAATTTTCTGTTTCAAATTGATACCAGACTTTTTATATCTTGCAGTGATGCCTTTGCACGTTTATATGATAGAAGGATGCTACCGCCTCTGAGCTCCTGTCGGAGAAGAATGTCTCCACCTCCTTGTGTTAATTACTTTTGTCCAATGCATCTTTCTGATCGTGTTAGTGCTTTGCTTTATTGATCTATTAGTATCTACTTTTGAAGTGTTTTTAGTCAGTAATTTATTTAATCTGTTAAGTGTTAGTAATGTTGCAAGTCCTTTTTTTGGGGTGAAAGGATTTCTTTTAGAGGAGAAGGGATGCAATGCCATTGGATGAGGAAACCTAAAACAAAAACAAGGAAAAGTTGGATATGTTGGCAAGCTTTGCATACATACATACATACATACATAGATAAATATATATGTATGAGTGTGTGTGTGTGTGTGTGTTTGTGTTTGTGTGTGTTACTTCTGGATTCTGTGTTATTTGATTTCTTTTGGGTGGGTATATGTCATTTTCTCGCATTTCTTTCTCATCTCTGATAAAAGCTTTTATGTAAAATATAAACTCATATCTTCATGTTAACTTTCTCTACCTTCTCTTTTGGGAGTGTAATTATAATGGATGAGGGTAGGAATCTGTGGCTGTGCTGGAAAAGGGAAACAGTCATAGAAATTCTCTATTTCTTTCCATCTCTGACTTTTTTTCTTTTATTATGATTGTAATATGATACTTGTCTGAAATGTTGGGTACCTGTTCATGCTGTCATAGGTGTATATAATCCTGTTGATGGTGGTTAGTATGCCAAATATTTGAAGTTTACTGTCAATGAGAGGTTTGAAATGTGAAATATCCTTTTTCATTAGAATCGCAATTGGGAATTCCATTCCAGTCTAGAGGGTGGGAGTGTTACCATGTTGGATTCCAACTATATGGTATCCTTGTCTTAAATTGAAATGACAGTATTTTATATTCTCAAATCTGTGTACGTCTTTGTTCCATTGACACACCAACATGCGCTGTTGGTTTGGGCATTTTTAGGTCTTGGGAAGGTGGTGACAATCATGGTGATAGTCATGAGACATAAAGGATATGACAGCTGTGGCTGTGGTGGCGGCCAAGGAGGTGATGGCGATGTGGCTGTGGTAGTGGCAGCTTTGGCTGGGATATTGATTTTGTTGTCAATTTTGTGCAAGTGATTTTGGGAAAAGAATACAAGATACATAGGAGTCTCCACACATTAAACAATGCTGCAGTGAGAAATATCATTAGTAATTCCTATCTTCCAAATGCCAAAACTAAGACCAAGTAGTTTGTAATGTGAATCTTTCATTCTAAATGCCTAGTGGCACATATTTATGTCCTATAATTTACCATATTCACTCACCTTTTTCCAACTTGTTATGATATTTCGCATGTGTAAGTCTTTCTGATACTTCTAGCTATATATTGTTACACTCAAATTGTATCTTCTCTTTTCTAGGGACATCCAAGCTTGCACTTAACTCATGTTACATTCAGTCCTGATGGACACGAGGTTCTCCTCAGCTATAGTGGAGAGCATGTATACTTGATGAATGTAAATCATGGTAAAGCATTTTACATTTAACTTTTTTTTCTCGTTTATTTATTTGTCACTAATGGTATTATCTAATGTGCTTTTGTTTGTTCAATTTGAGGGATTGGCTAAATTTTCTCTAGTAGTATAATGTAATGTGCATTTTATTTGTTCAAAACATCAAATTGTTTGGGAGTATTGGAAAATAAATTATAAAAGTGCTTTAATTATCCAAGAATTTAATTTATGAATGGCAAGAAGTGGAATGCATTTTTCTTGCATAGTGTCTTCTTGTTTGGCTATACTTGTCATTGCAACCTTTAAGTCACATAGACATAAGAAAAAGTGTGTGCTGAGTAGTCTGTAGTTTAATGAAAGGTAATTCTTGAGTGTACACGTTAACCTTGCTTATGTTGGGACTCTTCCTTTAGTTTGCTCAACAAGAGTTTTCCATGCATCCTTTTTTTGCAACCCTTTGCTTGTCTTGATTTGATTCCTATATATTCTAATGGGGAACCCATTCCTAAAATAATCCTTTGAGTAAGCCTTATTTATTTTATTTACTGTCAGGTATTCTTTGTTGATCTCTTGAAGTTATTGTCTAGGTCGAGTGTGGTGTGATTTGAATGCTGTCAAAGATCTATTTATGATTGTAATTTCAGTAAATTCCATTCTGTTAGTTTCTTGTTAGTGTGTGTGTGTGTATAGACTATAAAAGTTGTTGAGATTGCACTTAAACTTTTTCACTATGCAGCTGGAGTGAATGAGATGCAATATACTTCTGAAGATGCATCAAAGCTGATGGCTTACTCTCCAACAATTAATGGGGTAGAGTTGCAACCTTGTGTGTCTAATGTCTTCCCAAATGGTTTTCCTATTAAAAAGAACATCGCTGCTAAGGTGTGGAGTTTTTGTTTTTGTTTTTTTTTGGGGGATTATCTTCATGATTATTTGCTGTAGTTATGCAGTGTAACTAAGACTTGTCAGTGTTTAATTGACTGATTGGGTTTTGCAGCTTGACAAATGCATGAAACTAATAAAGCATGCTAAGAAATCAATGGACAATGGGACAGCCTATTATGGAATTGAGGCATGTAATGAGGTTTTGAGTGGCTACAGTCATATTGTTGGGCCTGTATTAAAACATGAATGCTTGTGTACCCGTGCTGCACTATTGCTTAAGGTTGTTCTTGATATTACTAAATTAAGTCTTAGCATTTTGGTTTTCCTTTCAGTTTATATTTTTTTTCCATTTTTGCTGGATGGAAATTGTTTTGACATTTGTACCCTTATCCAGAGGAAGTGGAAAAATGATGCTTATATGGCTATAAGAGACTGCTATGCTGCTAGGAAAATTGATAATTCATCCTATAAAGCTCTTTACTATATGTCAGAAGCATTGTCACAGGTAATTTTGTTGTACAAACATTTTTAAAATGTGGTCACGTTGAATCATAATTGTATTTGTTATGCTGGCTTTTGAGAGGCTCGGCATTAAGCCTCATATTCAAATAGGGTGAGTCACAAATTTTTGTTTGGTAGAAACAAAGATTTCATAAAAGATAATTAAACCATAAAGCTTGAATATTAAGAGAGGGCTATTCATGTTGGTATTATACCAAATCCTTAAGATTCCTGTCCCAGCTAGGATTGGAGGCGAGAAACATGATAATTGAATCTACACTTGGAAAAAAATGTTTTGACCTTAGGGGACTTGTATGGCTCAATCGTACTTCATTTTCATGCCATTTATTTGCATCAAGCATACTTTTTTATAACAGAACCTGGCATAGTCTTAAAACATATTATACCTAATTCTGAATGTTATATTTATGCAGCTGGGCAGACACGAAGAAGCTTTGGAATTTGCTATTGCATCCCATTCATTGGCCCCATCCAAATCTGAAGTTGCAGAAAGAGTGGAGAATGTGAAGAATGATATTGCTTTAGGTATGGATAAGATGGCTTTCATGGTGGGATGTAATAATATGGGTGTCTATTTAGTTGCTGCATTTCTGTTTGTCTGCATGTATGTGCAAATTCATCATAATTATTCTTCTACTTATCTTGTTGATGAAGTTTGAGAATCCCCCATTGAGATCACTGAAACACGTTCCACCTTTCTATTATGTAGGTCAATGATTACAGTATTTAAAAATTACTATAATGTCGTAACTGCTAAAATTTGATCTAGTTAATCTAATTTCCAGATTGGAAATTTATATGCTATTTTTTTATTATGATTTTATGTGAGTAAAACTGGTTTGTTATTTAACAGCTGAAGCTGAAAAAAATAGCAAGACAAATGATGGAGCATCAAGGTTTGACAATCGGGGTGGAAGAATATTATCATTAAGTGATATACTCTATCGTTCGGAGGCTAATAGTGATGGCTCACAAGATGGTCCAAGATCAGAGAGGGATGATTCTGATTATGATGAGGAATTGGAATTGGACTTTGAAACATCAATCTCTGGTGATGAGGGACATGATCTTGAATCAAATATTCTTCATGGAAGTTTAAATCTTAGAATTCATCGTAGAGGTGACTCTAGAGAAAATGCTGGTGTAAATGGCTCATGCGAGTCACCTTCATCATCTTCTCAAAATAGTAGAATGTCTTACATGGTACATTTTACTACATAAAATTTTATTCTTATTATTATTGCATTGTCATCAATATGATCCTTCAAAAATTATGCTTTCTTTTATATTTATTTCCTAGGTTTTTGTAATGGCTTCATTTGATGTTTACTCTGCTTCCATTCTATTGGTTCCAATACATAATCCTAGAAGGGTACAACAATCTTCAGATTTTGGTGTTGCCTCCATTCTTTGATAATGCAGTTTTAATTATTAAAGTTACTAAACTAATAAAAAATTACATATACATTTGGATAATTTTTACTCGTGTTATATGCAGCCTGAAGCAGCTGTTGACATGAAACAGAGATTTATTGGCCACTGCAATGTTGGCACTGATATAAAACAGGCTAATTTTCTTGGCCAAAGAGGTATGCTATTTCATATATGATATTGTAAATTTTAGCATTTTCTGTTAAAAGTTAATTTTTATCGTACTCCAAACAAGCATTGTAAAGATAAGATGTTCTGCTATTTTCTCTTTCTCATGGTTGCTTTATTACTTTCATGTTAGTATTGCCTTGTTGGAGTTTTGTGTTAATCATTTGAATACCAATAGTTGAGACAGGAAACATAGAATACCAAGAAAGCTGCCTAATCACACAACACAGAGCATCCACAGAGACCACAAAGCAGGTTTTGAATCAGAGGAGAGAAAATGAGCTACCCTAGGGCTGGAAGGTGTTGTTGCACAAGAAGTTGTTTCAATATGAAAATATGATAAAAAAAACTAATGGGAAACAGGTGTCTTTCAGACCTTTCAGACAAAATCTGACCTGGAAACCTGTGCCCTTGAACAAATGATCTAATCATAAATCCTACAATCCTAAGGAAAAAAATCGCAATTAGCTGCCCATGACAGTTTGTGGCCTGCCAATGATCTCTAGGGCTCTCTTTGTCTTTTGCTCTGTCCTTGTTTGGTCATACTTCAATTACTTTTGCATCCTTTTTTTACTCTATATTTGGCCCTTTGTGTAACAGATTTTTCACATTCTGAAACAGGTCTTTAAAGTTTTTGTTGTGTGTTCTCTTTTATGGTTATATAATTTTTTTTTATTAAAAAAAAAAAGTCTAGTAGTTTTAGACCTTTGAGCATTTGTATTTGCATAATTAAATTTTTAATATTCTATACTTATGTTTTCATTGTACTTATCAAGTTGAAAGGAAAGTTTTATTATACTGCAATACAATCAACTATCCTATATCGTAGTGAATGTTGGATCTTAAAAGAATAATAAGAAGAAAAAGTGGAAATGACAGAAATGAGAATATTAAAGTGGATGAGTGGACACACAAGAAAGGACAGGATACAAAATGATAATATACAAAAAAATATTAAAATAGCACCTATAGTAAAAAAAATGATTTAAAATTGTTTAAGGTGGTTTGGTCATGTACAGAGAAGACCTTTGAAAGCGTCTGCAAAGAGAGTAGATTGTATGACTCTTAGTCCGATAAAGACGGGTTGAGGGAGACCCAAAAAAATTTTAGACAAAATTATTAAAAGTTTCACTAGACTTTTGAAAATTTAGTTTTTGATCAATGATGTTGTATGATCCATGTAGCCGATCTTGCCTATTGAGATAAGGCTTGATTGGTGTTATACCTGTGTTTTCATTGAAACAATCATCTTCTATCCACTATGGTGTTCAGTTTTGACCACAACACAACTGATTGAGGGTGCCATAAACCTTTCCGAAATAAGCAGAGATAGGGAAAAACCCCATATAGTGTTGTTGATATACAACACCTTGCCCTACTCTCAAACTCGGCTCATAGGTCATTTGAGTCAACAAATGGTAGATTTGATTATGCTAGATGGGGTGGCATGATTATCCGTGGTATGCCACAATTCACTGTCCAATGCACAAGTATTGTAGGTATTTCCTCTATAATTTATCAATAGAAAGAAGTTATTGACCTGATTGATGAAAACAGGCAACCCAGCCCTCATTAATCGTGAAAAACTGTGTGTATTGACACAGCGAGGTTCTATTGTATATATTCTGCATCCTAGCTATCATCATTACAAGATAATACTTACATATATATATTCCAATACCAATGTAATAATTTACATGGTAAGTAAGAAACAAATTGATTTCCTTCGCTATGAATTCCAATATCTTCTTTAGAAATGAAAACAATGGTTCAAATGGTATATGCAAAGCCACCTGGGAAATATATGGTTTTATTGTTTTATTTTATTTTTTTGGCATGGGAGTGTTTTTTTTATAGTATCTTAAATTCCTCATTTTGATTATTCAAGATCACTTGTTTATTTGTAGGTGAATATGTTGCCAGTGGAAGTGATGATGGCAGATGGTTTATATGGGAAAAACGAACTGGTAGACTCGTAAAAATGCTGAATGGTGATGAATCAGGTAACATTGATTTTTCTAAGGTTTTGGGATTTAGTAGTCTTCTCTTACATTGTTGTCTGAAGCTACCTGTTTCTTTCTGCTACAGTTGTAAGCTGTGTAGAATGCGGCATTTGATTTTAGGATTTGGTAGTCTCCTTTCTTATTAGGTTGTCTGAAGCTATTTGTTTCTTCCTGCTACAGTTGTGAATTGTGTACAATGCCATCCATTTGATTTTGTTGTTGCAACCAGTGGGATTGATAGCACAATAAAGGTGAGAATGGTGATTCTATGATGTGCCGTATCTTTCGGGTGTAAAATCTTCAATCTCTGAAGCTTTTTGGCGGTGCATTATTTTAGATATGGACTCCAACTGCTCCTGTTCCATCTTCTGTTGCCGGTGGTTCAGCAGGACCAGAAACTGGTGATGTGTTGGTTGCAATGGAGAGCAATCAACAAAAATTATCCCGTAACCGTGATTCTATTCTGTAAGGATTATTAAACCTTCTTTTTGATATAGGAATACCTGTGATAAGGATTATAAGCACAAAGCCTTGTGAGGCCTGGAAATAAATTTAATGTTGACAATGCCTTGCAATATGCACAAGCTACCCCTCAGTCTATCATTCTGCTCTTAATGTAGGGAGTCGTAACATGTTGAACTTCACTTCTATATTAATTGAACTAGTTTACTATTACTCTCTTTGTGGGTCATACTCTATCATATCAACTGCAGAGATTACTCATCTAGGTGATAGATGTCAAGCAATTGACTAGGAGGGTTGGATTTAAAGTCTTCCACTTTTAAATGTCATTCGTGAATTGGGCATGATCTTTTGATCCATCCTTCCTTCCCTATTTCTGATATATTTAATGAAATCGTCCTCTTCCTTAATGCTTCCAGAAGGAATCTAGTTAGATATTTTCTGGGTTAAGTGATTTTGTCTTCTGCAGGCCCTTTGAGCTTTTGGAACCATTTAGAATGCATGAGTTTCCTGAAGGGTCGCTACGCTTGCGCCCATTTGAATGCGCTCAAAGCTAAATGTTTGGTAATTCTCATCTACTGGTAACTTTTACCTTGTTCATCTCTTGCACGAGTTAATATTCGCTGTTACTTGTATAAGTATAGTTAGGAAGGTATTAGTTTCAGAAATATCCCTAAAGTGGGCTTCTTTGGGGTGACAAATTTTGATCTGAGAAAAAAACCTCATTTCTTGGTGTTATTTATGTTTCAAAACCGGGCCAATGACACCTTTACTTGTGGTTTTAATGGTTCAATTGACTTAACTGGATGGTTCACCCAAGGCCAAACCGAACAACATACTAATATACCAAAATCTGCAATTATTGGCTTAATGTGATCTCGAATTTTCATTTCTGAAACATTCTAATTCATATGTATTGAACTTGTATATGATATAACTATCTAAAATTTAGTTATTGGAATCTAAGAATGGGCTTGCTTAGTTGCTGAAGCTTCACATTTGGCTAATGAGAAATGTTAGCATATACTATCTAAAAGGACTTTTGTTATTGGCTGAAATCTAATTAGAAACTAGCAAGTCTCATTTCTGATTTAATTAGACTCATTCATAAAATAGTACAGCTATAACACGCACATTTTTCACTTATCCTATCCTCTTGTCGAAATATGCTTATTTTTCACTTACTGAACCATCGTGCTTTTATGTTTGTATCTGACTGGAATTGTAAGGAGTAATCTGCCCTTTTGTACCGTTGCAGGTTGATATTTGGTAGTACTAAATGAGTCTGTACTGCCATTATCGGTGGGAAGAGCTTTGACAATGGGACGCGCGGAATAATTTGGCACATTAAATTCAAATCATGGGTATTATCCCGGATATTTTTGGTTCAAAGGTATTATCCTGGATTTATTTCCTGGACTGTTGATTAGAAAGAAAAGTTGTACAAATTTACTAATTATCATGGGTGCCGATATGTGTATAGTAGGTGGGTAAAGTTGAAATATTAAATTTAATCTGTATATGAAAGGATCCAGAGGACTCTTGTTATTTGAACACGGATGTTACAATAATTAGGCTTTTTTTGTTCACTGCATAGGTATTATTAGTTTAAAATAATTGTTTAAAATAATAAATTTAAAATATAGTCAATACTGTGATTACTAATAAATGATAGATTTTAAATAAATATAGATTTTAAATTAAAAAATAGATTATAAAAAACGATATTAACGTCAAAATTGATTTTAAATAATATAGATTCTAAATTAAAAATGTATATTATAAATAATGATATTAATGTAAAAAATAAATGTTTAATTTTTTAAAACAAGTACTTTGAGAAAGAAAAATTAATTCTTAAAAATACTCGGTTGGATAAAGTTATTAAAAATGTTTATATTTATGTACTCTCTTTATTCTTTTTATAAGAAATAAAATAAAATATTTTTTGTTTTTATTATAAAAAATAAATAATAGATTCAAGATTTATTAATTGTTAAAAAAAATTTAACTCTTTTTTTATTAGTATCATTAAATATATAAATTACTAACTACACTATTTAATATTATAAATATTTTTAAAATAAAATTTATATTTATAAAAAATATAACAGAATTAATTTTATTTTTTTTAGTTTTAGTGATTTAGTCTTATAAGAAAAACTGTTAAGATTTAACTTTGTTTAAAATATTAAAATATAACTTTTATTGTCAACTTTTTTCTGTTGAGGATAATAATAAAAATTAATTTATTATGTCATTTAATTTTTAGTATTTTATTTTAAAAAATTTAAAAAATTAATATTTATAAAAAAAATAAGAAAAAGGCATTCTTCGAATCAGAACCCTAATTTCCAAATCCATCCTACCCTCCTTTCGGACGAACCCCTTCCCCCTAGGTCCTAAAAGTGACCCCCGAGCAGCGCACCAGCTGATTGAAGTATCTTGCATCCTCCGACAGTGATAATAGGTAAACGATACACAACAACACTATACTCTAAATGGAGGATGGCAATTAGTATCTGATCTCTGAAAGTCTGAAGCAAGAACAATTGAAATGTTTAGGCGCAACCACAGCGAAATAACTTCTACATAAAAAAAAAAAAGGAAGAAAGAGAAAATTATTCAAAAAATAGGAATTGATGAGAAAATTATTTTAAGTCCACGAAACTGAATGAGTTTTCAGATTTCTCCTAAAATTAGTCGAAAAGTAGAAACTGAGAGAGAAATTATTCTTAAGTCTACAAGACTAAATGAGCTTACAGATTTCTCTCAAAAATTGCTCAAAAAATAGAAACTTAAGGAAAAATATTCTAAGTTTACAAGAGACATGATAGAGCTCAAAAAATGATATCAAAATAATTACAAGGTTCAAAGCAGTTATCAACGGTTACCATCAGTAGAAGATTTAAGACACGAAGAAAGATTGTGGGCGATAACAGTTATGGAAAAAACCTCAACTGACAACATGATCATAAGCAATTGTAGATAATGTACAGGATGAAGATAAGCATGTATGGAAGACAGTTGCTGAGAAGTGTCGGTGAAAAGAGGAGATCGGAGGTGGTTCATTTGTCTATAAATATTACAAAGCTTTACATAACTAGAGACGACTTTTTGTACTATATACCTGCACCCAAACTCTGCATGCTAAAAATCTGCATCACGTTAAACACCAGCTACCAAAAAACTCACGAGTAGTTCACTGTAAAGAGTCGTACGGTTACATTTATGTGCATTTTATATTTCTGCAATTTATTTTAATTTATTTTATTTGTTTACAACCTGCAATTTTCACCGTAAATAATATCATAATTAAATATTTTATATTAGTATTTTATTTATTCAATTTCAAAAATATAATTACAGGATGATATTGAAGTAAAAATTATATTTAAAAGTTTATTTATGTGTATGATAATGAAATAACATTATTATAATCAAAGAGGGAAAAAAGTGAGAGTAAATGAACAAAATAATAATAAAAAATTAAAGTCTCAATTTTACAAATCTGAAATAAGATAGTCTTTAGAAAAAAATTTATATCACCGTGGTTGTCATCGTCATTAAACAATATGAAATTTATAAAAAAATATTTGTAATATTTTTAAATATAAAAAATATTAAAAAGTCCTAAATTTTTTTTAATGAAATCTTGATTTTTCAAACACATAAATAAAAAATTATAGTATTTTACCAATTTTTATATATAAATAATATTATTGTAATTATTTGTCTAATGAAATATTTTTTAAATTATATGAAAATATTAAATATTATATTAAAAGTATTCATATGTATTATTTATTATATTTATCTTTTATTTTGATCATGTGTGTGTTTTATAATTTTATTTATATAAATGAATTAAATTTATAATTTTAAATTAAAATTTTTTATTTTTATTTATATCATATGTATCTTTTGTAGACTAATTTTATTTAAATCAAATATGATTAGTATGAGCAAAGTTTTTTAATATTTACTATTACATTCACTTAAACTTAAGTTTAATATTGTATGTCAGCTAATATTTCAATTATTTAAAAATATACATATATTATATTAAAAAAATTAATTATTGTTAATAATTAATTTATATCATCTATACGATATAATAACAATTATTATTATTATTATTTATCGTCAAAAAGCTGAAGAAAACAATAAATATTTAAAAAAAAACAAAATAACGAAAAAGAAATTATTTAATACGAGAAACCTAACTTTTATTCACATACTATCATACGGAATGGGTTTTGTAGTTCTATTTATAAAAGATTTTGAACTTTACCTGTGCAAAAAAAATTAAAAATCAGCTATGGTTATAAAATTGTAAATGACAATTTGTATAATCTCTTACTTTTTTTACATACAAAATTAGAGCTAAAAAATAACGATTATGATACATATAATTAATTAAATTAAACATTCTTTCTCTGATAACAATGATGAGTGATGACCACTCCATGCACACTACTACTGTATTATTATATTTCCAAAAGTTTCAAACTAATGAAGTTATTATTATCCTATCATGAATTCCAAAGTATGTGAATATTATTTCGCGGCATTTTCACATTTTTCTGCTTTGGTGGACTTTTGGATGAACAAAAGTCAAAAGTCACTATCTCGTACTTGACATGTTTTCCGTATAGATTTTGAGTGGAATTTAAATTGCATTGATACTAAACAGTAAACAACTACAATTGGAATAAGGTGATATCTTTATTCAAGTGGTTCATATTTATTTTTTAATTTAAAATCTGTATGAAAATAAAAATTACTAAAAAACTAATTATATTTTATAATATAAACTTTCAAAGCTTAAACATAATTGTGTCTTACAGTAAACACTAATAATTCAAAAGAAAAAGATGATGAACATGATATCCATTTTCTTTGCTTTTGCATGTGTTTCTAGAATTAAAATCTACTCCCACTGGCGGTGCCGGCCACTGTGTCAAATGCCAGGTTGCTTCGTTAGAATATTTGCACCAAACCTAATTGTCCATTCAAAGTCCAACTCACTGCTGTTTAATTCAGACATATTCAAACGTTAATAGGCCCATCACAGTTTAAATGTTAAAAATTAACCTTTTTTAGTTATTAGATAAAAATTATGCAAGTTTCATTTTTTTAAATCTAATGAATTTTTAATAAATTTTAATTGATAATTTAAAATATATTAAAAAGTTTGTTTATAATATAGCTTTTATAAGTGATTGCCATAATCTCTACCTAGAATCGTTATCTCAACCTTGTTAATAAAAAGGAAAGGTTTTTTTTTTAAAGTAAATTTGTTTATGTTTTAAAATGTTTATAGCCATTTCTCGCAAATATTTTTTATTTAAAGTATTGTTTTTGTTAATTAAAGTAATAGTATCTAATGAACAAATTTAAATAAAGAATAATCCATAGGGGTAACAAAAGACATCCCTAAAAAAATATCAGATTTGATGAACAGTGTTCAAAATTTTGACGTTTATGCCATGAAAATTCAAAGAGACAAAACATCAACAGCGTAATACAATCTACCCACTTAGGTACGGCAGTATGAAAGCTAACGAGTGAAAAATGTGATTGATTACATGATATGATAAAAATAAAAAAGTAAAATACTATATAAATATTTAAAAATGAAATCTCTAATAAAAAAAAAACATGAATAGACATGTTGAAATGTTAATAGGCCCATCCAATTTCAATTGCCACCCTCATGTCATGTGTATAAGAACTAGAGAAGGTAAAGAGAATCATTTACCATTTGAATTGATTTTGAGAAGTCCAATGTGATTCTCAGTATCTCTCTCAAATATATTACAAAGAGACATTTGATCGTTCAAAAGCTGAAGAAAGCTTCATAGCTCACTTCCTAAATTACAAACAAAAGCAACCAACAGATTCTCGTCCCACGTTTCAGAGTGTTATTCAAGCCAAACAAATGCTGCCTAAGCACGTCACTGTGTGACCATCTGTCCCATACTCACTTTCTTGCACTTCAGCCACTGTCACTAAAAAAGAATGATTTGGACCGTACCATTGTTCACCATCTCAACCCAACTTTATTTTAATTACCCATTCATTTTCAACGTATTGTACCTTTGTTTCTGTTTACAAACGTACTTTGTTGCTTGTGTTTTCAGGTTGTGTAGAGTTTTCTCCATAACCACACATAGTTTTATTCCAATAAAAAAATGAAGGTAGGGTGCTCAGTTAATTAACTTACTTTCTTGTTATTATACGCTCTCTATTAACTCGCGTGTTGTACGGCAATTCTCTTATTTTATTCACAATTCAATTGGATAATCAAATGAAGAAATTATTCTCCACACAATTTTCTTAACTTACATAAGTGGTTATGCATATTGTTTTTTAAAATGTCATACACAAGATGTGTTTGTTTTGTTTTCCTAAGGAAACAACATAATGTATAACATATAATAAAAAAATACTAACAATTCACTCTCTCATACACCTATTTTAATATATTTTTAATTATTGACTAAAATTTACTAAAAATTATAACAAAAAATATTAAATTAAATATAACCAAGAGTGATACTCTTATAATTTTTGTAATTTTTAATTAATGGTTAAAAGTGTATGAAAAGAGTATTGTTAAATATGCAAATATATATACTTGATGGAATATATGAACTGTTCTCCCCCATTTCCTCTAAAACTATTTATAGATGAAGAATTAATTATTGATATTTGAAGGAGAGCGGGAGAAGAGATTATTTCACTTCATTTGCAATGCAATGGATGAGATGTGCCAAACACATACACACAGTTTGCAAAACTATTTCATACACAAGTTTCCTTTGGGTCTGGCCCCCTACGTTGTTTTGCTATATTTAAGTATTTAATCAATTATCGGACTTTGTCCTATTAAGCTGTATAGTATATATCATAATGTAAGATTTCATTCATGCTTCAAAGGAACAGATTCAGATGTCCCCACATAGCCAATCATGTTTTTCTTTTTAAACCATGTTCTTGTAACTTAAAGTGCAAATAGTCAAAGAGGGGTAGGTATCCAACAATGTTTTTTTTCCCCTTTTTTTGAAGAGAGGTATCCAACAATGTTAAAGGCAAGTAATAACCAATTTTGTGGTTTATATAAATTCTCTAATGATTTATTATCAATATTAATTAGACTCGGCTGTCATGAAACCGAAGCTTCATTTTTCATCAATATCGAATGATACATATCTTGGATAATGCAAATTTTCTTTCTCCCAGGAAAAGCCTTGCATCTTCCAGAGTTAGATACGTGAGATTTGAATGATGAAGGGGAAAAAAAATCGATACATACTTAACTTTTTTAGAAACTAATATGTTAAGAATAGGAAAAATAATCAAAGGATTAAATTGTCTAGTGTTTATAACATTATTTAATTATTCTCGTTTTAATCCCTCTTTGTTTTTTTTTTTTTCACTTGCTACACCAGAAAATAGGCGTTCGAATAAGCAACAACATTATTTTGTGCTAAAAGCATATGACCAGTTGGCCACCACCAACCCCGCGGACAAAATTGGTTCATGGGGGTAAAAAATATTATGTTCGAGTAAATCAAAATCAAACTTGACCATAAAAGTAAATTTAAATAATAATACAAAAATGTAAGTTTGAAAATTTGTACAAATTTTCTAATAAACTTTTCTTCATCCAAAATTAAATTATTAAACCTTCATCCAAACACACTGTAAAACTACATAAAATCTCAAACCACGGTATGTAAATGCACTGCAGGTTTCAAAAGAAAATTAACAATACTCCATCCTATATACATGTGTGTAGATTTTTGGGGAACTGGTCTTCTTGGTGCACGACTTTGCATGCAGGAAATATTAAATTATGAAGAGAAATTGTACTTGTATAACATATTAATATATCTAGAAAATTCTGAGAAAAACTTTTTATTTAAAAAAAAAAAAGCTGTTGAACATTTGCCATAATTATATTCTTAAATGATTAGAAGGCACAGAGGGTAGGGGAGGAGATAAAGGAAAAAGAAAAAGGCGAAAAAGGAAAAAAGGAAGTGTGCGTCCAATCTTGGATTGCATTCACAACACAACATATCCTCTTCCAAAGCTGCGAATCATTGACGACTTTAAAGTGAAACTTAATGTCTTCCCAGTTATGGATACTTTCCCTTTACTATCTCTTCTCTTCTGAATCCTCTCTCGCGCCAAACCCATCCAAATAATCACACTCCCCACAATGGGTTACCTCTCCTGCAATGCCCACTCCGCAATTGCAACCTGCGACCCACACTACTGCCACCTCAAAAACAACAAACCCACCCCTCCAAAGACAATAACACACTTCCACTACGCGGATCTCCTCGCCGCCACCAAATCCTTCTCCGCCCAAAACTTCTTAGGCAAAGGGAGCCACGGCACAGTCTACAAAGCCACCCTCCACGGCGGGAAACTGATCGCCGCCGTGAAAACCACCAAACTGGTATGGAAACCCACCCACAACCACAGCAGCACATGCAGCGGGTGCGCCAACTGCACCTCCCCCGCGGACAACGAGATCGAGATCCTCTCCCATGTCCCCAGCCCTCGTCTGGTGAACCTCATCGGCTTCTCGACGCACCCAAACGGCAACAAACTAATCGTGGTTGAATACATGCCAAACGGTTCACTTCACGATCTCTTACACTCCACTTCTCCCCCACCCGGTTGGACCGGTCGAATCCGGTTCGCTTTACAAGTAGCGAAAGCGGTTCACCAATTACACTCTTCTAACCCTCCCGTTATTCACCGCGATATTAAGTCTTCTAACATTTTAATCGACCATGAATGGAACGCTAGGCTCGGTGACTTTGGCCTCGCGTTGAGGGGACACGTGGAGGACGTTCGCGTAAAGTGTACACCACCCGCGGGGACGTTAGGCTACCTCGACCCTTGCTATCTTGCGCCTCAGGATCTCAGCGCCAAGAGCGATGTCTTCAGTTTCGGGATCTTGTTGCTCGAGATTATCAGCGGTAGGAATGCTATCGACGTTAACTACAGTCCTCCCTCCGTCGTCGACTGGGCGCTGCCCTTGATTAAACGCCGTGACTTCGCCGGAATTTGTGACCGCCGGATAGGAACGCCGCCCGATGAGGCGGTGATGCGGCAGCTCGCCGTGCTTGCGGCCACCTGCGTGAGGTCGACGGCGGATAAGCGGCCGTCCATGGCGGAGGTGGTGGAGTGTCTTAAATACGTGAGGAAGAGGATTCGTGCGTCGCCGATATGGAGAAGTCTAAGACGGCGCGTGGCGCGTGTGGAGAGCGCGCAGGCGGGGATGACGTGGGATGTTTGTGAGGATGACTGTGAAAGGAGTGAGGAGGTTTTGAGGAGAGTTAAGGGGGGGAGCAGGAGGAATAGGAAAATATCGAGTGTGTCGGGTGTAGGGTACGAGGGTGAGCCCTCCTCCAATAAGGTTATGAGGTCCAAGTCAATCGGTTCGGGTTGGATTCGAATGGATTCGAAGCAAATGGAGCATGGGTTTGGGAGGAGGAGAGTGAGGCTGAAAAAGTCAAAGTCAATGGGGGTTTTGCATTATGGGAGTGAGAATAGCCATAACAATGTTCCAATTCACTGGGCAATGTCCAAGTTGGTGATTAACGATAAGCTGGAAAAGAAAATGCTCGAAAAACCGTTGGTGAGGTCGCATCACACTGGGAGTTATAGCGAAGGTTGATGAATGATTTTATTGGATTCCTCGAATGGGATGTTTCATTGGTGTGTTTGTGACATGATTTGTGGACAACGATGATGCCCTTCTTTTGCATTGGATAATGGATAGATTAGTTAGATTCTACAACTCAGTACTCTCTCACTGTTCAGTCCATTCGACCCAGTGGTCACAGTGTCATCTTCCACCAACTTTGTACTATCATTAACACTGCAACTAAGCTGTCCTAAATCTTTGTTTTCTTCCATATTTAGCTGTTCGCATCGTTTTCCTTCTTGGCCTTCCAATACTGTATACATTCTTTTTGTTACCATTATTTACTACTCAATTAATTCACATTTAAGAAGATATTACATAAACATCCATCTGCGCACCATTCAACGTTTGCTTATTATCAATTTCAATATTAATTATTATTAAATATCATTTTGTAATTAAGGACACAGATTAAAAAACAGTAAGCATATGTTATCAAATACTTTAAATTACTATAAAAAAAATATCAATTAATTTTTTAAATTTTAAGATAATAAATATTTTATTTTTAATAAAAATATCTTTTTTTACATTTGGACAGACATTAAAATAATAATAAACATTAAACAAATGAGATGAACATTTATTTGTGAATGTGAGAATTTTAGCTTAAATTTCATTCTTACTACTTTTTTCGTGTTTTTAAGAGTTGTGCGAATTTATTGATTTTTGTGGACATTAAGAATACCTTGTATAAGTTTTATTAGTTTAAGAATTATTCAAATACATTAATGAGATTTATTTTATGCGTTCACGTTATGTATCTATTAGCATTTTGTCAAAATCCTTTTATTAAAAAATTTATCTTAATAGTTAACGTAATTTTTATTTATAAAAATAAGTATATTTAGATTAAACGGAGATGGTGGCTTTTTTAGAAGTCTAGGCCATGCTGAATGGGAAGACATAATGGAATAATTTGTGTACTTTGTAACATTTTTAGTATCATGTAAGTTAAATTACTTGCTATTTTATAAGGCTTTAATCTCCTTTGAAAAATTAGTCTTAAAATTATTATTTGTGACTCTAAACTTGCTTTGTCATATATTTAAGAAGTTCCTTTCAAAATTCATTCATATGAATGTTATTTGAAACATACCTTCTTAAGAATAAACAATTTATTTTCATCACATTCACTAACTTACAAAATATCGTTTCTATAATTCAACTTGATTAAATAAAATTACTGTTAATAGCAAAAAAAAATAAAATTATTGTTCACCTAAGTTAAGTCATAAAATTTTAACTAACGATACAAGTTATTCACATGTTGATTTGTAGTTATTTATTACTTTGTAAAATTTTCATTAATAAAAGAAGTGTTTTTTATTGTATAAATTATTTAAAAAAACTTGGAATTAAATAATAATAACAATCATTATTAATGGCTTGAACGAGGTTTTATCCTATATATATAATAAAAACTAATCACTTTGACACGTGTATCATTGAGTGAGATTTGATCTTTGCCTCTAAAACTTATTTTATGTATAAGTCAAGAGTCAAATATCGATCACAACGCAGACATATGTATATATACTAAAAGTAAATATTATCATATAAAACAAAGTTTGTGCAATCAAATGCTGTCTGGTTAAGCATTTCTTCACATTATTAATTGAAATATAATTTAAAATGTTTTATATAAAAATTTAATTATCTTCAATAATAATCATAAACTAATAGTACTGTTGTAATAGCCATGGCTCACTGGTAAACTTTTTTATACATTTTAACATAACTTATAATAAAAATACTATTTATTTATTTTTAATAATTATTTTAAAGTCATTAATTAACCAAAAACACATCAACAGTTGAATCTAGAACGATGTCCTTGAATATAAAAACAAAAATCATTATAGTAAGTAAATCGTAGTTTGACTTGAGGCAATATAAATATGAAGTATCAACCTTATGATTCAACCTTTTTTTTTTCTTAAGAATTTAAAGTGAACTCAATTTTAACATATGAAAATCACAATATATTTTCGTGCGTGCGCCTGCATGTTAAACTTGGTTTGGTTTAACTATTTTTTGTTGAACTTGGGTCAGGTTTATTGGTTTTGGGCTTAGAAGAGAAGCAACTGGGCTTGGGTTAATAGGTTCCAAAATTTTAAAACCTAAAAAAAAACATAGAGGACTGTCAAATTCTTGACCCAAGAAAAAAACACTGCTAAATTCAGTGTACCACTAGCACAGGTGAATCTTGAAACCACGAAATAGGTTTATCCTTTGTTGCTCTTCTCGTGGATTCCCATGCAACGTGCTGGAAGTATAGCTTTCATGACATTATTCAGATAGTGGCAATACTTACGTGTAGCTTATGCTGATAATATTCATAATTTTGAAGGCAATAATACTTTTAAACATTTTTACTTTGGAGTATATTATTATTTAAACACAATGAAAGAGTCTCATAATTGAAGTACCATGTTAAAACTTAACAATGTCTATTTTCTTTTAAGTTGATGTTTTTTTTTCTATTAATAAATTCATTTATCTATCAAAATTTAGTATATTACACTTTAATATATTCAATACTTTTTTTTATCTCAACTCTTGACAAGAATATTAATTATTATGACTTAAATAACTAGAAAAACCTAACTTCAAATTCTAATTCATTAGATAAGAAAATCTCTTTTTTAAGCATTACATTAAGTTTTATATTTATTCAATGTATATAATTCAAGTATCACGTTAAGTTTTTCTCAACGTGTAACTCATAAAAATAACATTTTTAGTTTTTTTTCTTAATTAAGTTATGTTCTCTCTGAGTGAAATATAATACTTTAACACACATATATATACTATAAACTTTTTAGGATGATAAAATTAAATTTTTAATATTATTTAAGAGACTTGTTCCGATCACAGTATTTAAAATATTATTAAAGGGGCTATGGTAGCTAATTGAATCACTACAATGATACAAATATTACTCTATTAATATCACTCAGAATTTTAATTTTATTAAACACATTAAGAAATATACCATATTAATATACGTATATGTATATGCATGAACAAATTTTACCCCAAAGATAACAAAGTAAAAGGCTGCCATAAAGTATGGAAATGAAGCTCAGACACTCCTCCGCATACCCCACACTCTTCAACGTCTCTCATTGTCCTGTCAGTGTCTACGTCCAACTATCATTTTAAGATAAAATTGAAACATTATATCATAAATATTATTATGTATTATTGTCTCATTAATGTCTGTCGTGTAAATAAATAAATATATATATATATATATATATATCATTGTATCTTATACGTCAAAATACTTACTATTTTAAAAATAATAAAATTTATTATTTTACGTAAATATAAAATTAGTGTTCTTATTTTTTTTATTTAATTTTTTATTTCATCCACTAATTTTTTTTTTATTTTAATTTTTTAACTTTCAAAAATTTTATATAGTTTATTTGCTATTAAAAAAATTTAATCTGTTAAAAAATTTCATTATTTTGTATATTGTATAATACTGTTTATCATTTTTATCTTTATATTTGTAATTATGTCTGTAATACTTTTTTTTTCTTATTTTATTGTCTGAAACGTTAATCACTCACCTTCAAGTTTCAATTTATAAATAACATAACTTTCAAAATACCTATTTCAAGCTGCTAATCTTCGTTGCTCATATATTTGTTATTTTAGAATTTGGGTTTGTTTGTGTAGATCAAGTTTTAGTTATAGTAATAAATTGCTCTCAAATTCTTAAAAATTGGCCTTTAACCTCGTGGTGTGAATTTAAAATTTTAAATATTAAGGTATATTATGAATATTTGTGGCTCATTATCTCATGATTTATTCTAATTCAATGTTGTATAGGGTTTGTTTGCATAAGTGTAAATTTGCCAAACCTTTATAGTTGATGCTAGTTAATTATGAAGGTAAAGATAGTTTTAATGACTAGAGAAGTGAAGTCACCATGCCCGTAAGGAGATATAAAAGTAAGGAGATGTAAAAGCAGTTCCATTTGAACTTATAGTGTTTATAAGTGTTCTAAAATTTTGTGTTATCTAATATCTTATATTTAAGAAAACGATTATTTAACCGTTCTCAAATGTTAATATTAGATAGCAGTACTGCATAACTACTCTTAAAAGTATACTTAAGAGAGTGATTCTCTGCGTAACCACTCTTTATACTTTATACTTTGAAGAACGGTTCTATGTGAAAACTCAATTGCTCTCCAAAGTTCATATAAGAAAGTAGTTCTTCGTGGAATTGCTCTCAGAAGTTTTGACAAAGAAATCATTAATTGCACTCTAAAGTCCAAAGTCCACTTCTAAGAATGGTTTATAATAAACGACTTTCTTAAGTTTAAAAATATTTTGTCATAATTTTAATAAAAATGACATTATTTCAATTTCTGGCATATCTAATAAGCCATATATTATTAAAAAATAATGCAAACAAAATAGAAATATAAAACAGTTTGGTATACCAAAATTTCAAACCATATACACATTATATTTATCAATCATAAATCAAATTTATAACATATGAATATCTATCTCAAAATAACAGAATAATGCATAAAAGATGTACAAGTACATATTACTATTACAATTACATAGAACTACAGTAAAAAATGAAAAATAATCTATATGACTTTTACCTTAAATATTTACAAATATAACTAGGTCTTGTAAAAAAACATTAAGAATCTTTTATGCTTAATGTGTCATTTAATTATTTATAATATATATATATATATATATAATATATATATATACTCATTCTTCCATTTGATAAATTCTATTGTCACAAAAAGTTAAAAATTGGAACTCTAAAAAATTTTAAAGACAAAACAATAATATACAAAAATTAGTTATGTTAAATATAAATTAAATGGACAAACACTTAAGAAAAAATAGAAATGATATATAAAGATCTTGTATTATATGAAATTCTCTTACATTAACTATAATTGTAATTTATCCATGATA